GGGGAGAGGGGGGAGAAGGGTCAATCGGTCGGGAAAGTGAAAATATATTTTATGTTGATTTGTTCTTATCTCATTTGTTCTTATCTCATGTAAGGGAACGATTAGTTTTTATTTTGTACGAGAAAGCATGTGCACTCTCTGTTCTCCGCGCATACGTAATATTCAATTTACGACGACGAGATAATCGGTTTCGGGCGATATGCTGATTAAGATAACGCGAGTGCAGGAACCGTTTTCGCGTTCGCTCAAAACGTCAGATGTATATCGTCGGGAGTAATTACCAATTTCATCAGCTGGTGGAAGGCAGACCTATCGATTACACGAATAAGAATAAGAAAACGACGGAGGAAACAATATCTTCGTCGCTTTTTGCAATATGCTAATTATGTCAATTATGAATTATATCTATCCTTCTTCGGCTTCTAACGCGCGGTTATCTGATTAGTTTTCGTAAATTACATCGTTCCATATTTTCTTCGTGTAATGATTGATGAATTCTAGCCGATTAACATTCCAGCTTGACACGAGGCATTCATTAGCTGCCGGGATTGTGCGGTGTATAAAAATAAGAACCTTTAACTTGTATTAGCAATAGATCGAATGCGTTTTCTCTTTGATACGATCAGGAATATTCATATTTCTTGTAGTAACTGCATTGTTTTACTCAACACACTTTTCTTTTTAATACACTAAGTTAATGTTAATCCCGCAACTCACGGAAAGCTTGACATCGAGAGGATGACGTGGACATAGTGGATGTCAGATGTACTTAAGTATCTTCAAGTTGGGTTTTAACGGAATCAAAACGGAGAAATATGAAAGGGGTTAAACTAAACGAGTCCTTTGCACAAACAATGCAAACGGGGGGTATTCGCCCGGGCGGATTCACGTCTCTATGACTGATGAGATCTCTTCAATCACGAGGGGGGTCTTTGACGGCGCTTCAAACATTCGTTGCATCGTCTCAGGAAATGAAAAAAGATATTAGGTATGCATAGGCACGTTCGATACATTTCGTATTAACCGTCATTCTATTTAATATTCATGCGCAAAATTATCAACGGTCAAACGATCCAATTGTATCCCGACTGTTCCATATTAAATATTCCATATCGCCGATTTTATTATAATCTTGTTCATGACTCTCGTCGAAGCTGTCAGATTAATATAGGGTTTATGAGATTCCCTCGTTCCACAGGAGGGAATTATTGACGACACAATCAATAATAAATTCGAGATAGCCCTGCATCGTGAAATCACGAATGGTACGTTTGAGTGGCAGTTATTTGAACCTGATATTACAAAATTGTGAGGTTGGCACGTCCATCAATTCAAAATTGTGATCTAGAAGGTATAACGAATCTGTGGTCGATAAGGCGCGCCGTGGCGTAGGTCTAGTCTGGTAGACGTACGATGAAGAGGAAGGCAGCCTTTGATGCCTCTGGCCTTCGGTCCAATCGTGCATCTTGTATCGGACGCGGACAGAAAGAGGTCGGCATAGATCTGACGCCCGCGATGAGCGCCGCTGCAGTATAATATTAATGATGACTCGCTCGCCCCTTGGAAGAGGCTGTCTACTTGGTCTGTCCTGCAATGTCCTTTTTCTTCAGGCACGGATGCACTTTCTTCATAATCGGTTTATGCACGTACTTCATCTATTAATTTGTCTGGCGCTGTGATAAACTTCCAATTTATACTGAGGATTTTTCTTTTGCATATGTATTCGACGCACAGTGGCGTCCCCGGTTTTTATTAATTATCTCTTAACGTAACTAGTTAATCGAATCCCTCGGTTATATTTTCTGCATATATCATCTGTCAAATTGTATTTCAGATTTCATTAAGCGATATACCAGCTTACTCGCTGCTCAAAGTTTCTCGTGAATTTATTATTTTGGAGATTATTTATACAATTCTCCATGTAATATATTTTTTATTTCAAAATTCTTTTTACATTTAATATTTTTATTACCCTTATGTACCATGCATATAGGCAGACTTTTTTCACTTTAAAGCAAGATATATGTAATTTCAAAAAGTAATTTCTTTAAATGACAGTTTTTTAACAAAGTTTTTTTATCTCTTTATATACATATATATTTTTTGAAAGCTTGTTTTTATTGCAAAAGTTATATTTTTTACCTAATTTTTTAACAAAATGGTTTATTTTTCAATCCACAGAATGATTCTTTAGCAATATGGCGGAAGAACGTAGTAACTTGAAGAATACAGACCAGACGGTAAAGCATATCCCGCGGGGAAAGATGGCTGTGGCCCTGACCACCTGCTGCCTCTTTGATTCCGCCGCTAGAATCTCATTTAACCGTGTAATCCCGATGTTCATTGACGATGGATCGCCCCGTCTGCGAAGCATTGTAGGTGTACTAAAACATTATACGTTGTCTAATACATCATCGATCGAAAATAAAGAGTTCGGCGCAATATGCGCTGTTACCAATACCGGAACATCCGGTTCGGCAAAGAAACAATCCGCATTGTGCATGCGTGAGAGCATGTATATATAGTTGTATCACATACGTGAATTAAGGAGAGAAAGAGATAGTGTGAGATATTAAAAAAATATTTATAAACTAAAATTTTGTAATTAAAGTATTTGGAGCTATTTTTTAATCTATATTAATTCTTTCACAAACGGTATGACTATATTTTACCTTTAAAAATTTAGTACAGTTTTTAACTCAAATTAAATATAATATTATATCTTTTTCTAAACAACGTACTTTTATCTGTTATATTTGTGCTGCTTAGCAAAATATTAAAAAGTATACATAATAAAACATAGTAAAAAGATTGTATTGATGATTAGCTGCTTCATATAACGCTTACTAATTAATAAACAAAAGATATATATCGAAATGTTCGAGACGATGAGTTGTTAAGCATGGGGTAAATTGCATAAATTGTAGTTCTCAATTTTCGCGCGAGACAGTGATTTGGCTTTCCCGACTACCGACAATGAATAGACACTGATTGTTTGCGCCGTGTCACGATTTTAGAGTTGCGTTTAATTCAATTTGTGAGTGACTTACGCTGCCTGCCCTTAGTCATCGTGCAGCGCGCGCTTTATAGTCGGCTTCTTCTCTGCATCTCCACGCGGAGAATCAGCTATAAGTAGTGGAATAAGGAGCTTCTTACTTCGCTTAAATCGACATCGCTATCGGTACTGTGCAAGAATGAACATCATCAAATGAATAGTGTGTAAATAGCCAAGTTATATATTGTTAAATTGTTACTATCTCTTACTAGCTATTGATCAGTTTAATAATTTCAGTAAGTTCCAATGTTTCTGTTTTTCTTTTTCTTTTTTATTTTCCTTTTAAACATACTTTCTTCATTAACATTAAGTACGTAAATAAACGTAAGATTTTATTTACGGATCGAAGCAAAAAAAAACTGGACCACCCAAAGATACAAACATACGCGTATTTATCTCTGCCACTCTCCGCTATTTGTTTATAAACGTAAATCGCGAGGGAGTAACCGAGAAGAAGTAAAAAAAAAGAATTATCGTTGATGCTTTCCTTTGCATCTTAGCCGCCGCGGAAAGGCAAATGATTGGTATCACAATAAGACGTGTCGACTGAGGATGCCGCTCATCAAGTGAATCAGCAGCAAATAGTAGCGGGCTAATAAGTGCTATTATTCCGTCGCCGTGACGGTTATACGCACGTGATACTAGGCACGTAAATACGGAAGAGGAGAGGAAGAAATGAGAAGGAGGTACTGTTACGTCGATACAGACGAAAGAGAGAGAAAGTTACTGTTAGGCACTGAACTCCCTCGTCCAGCCGCCAATGACCAAGCATATTCGCGCCCAAGTCTAGACTCGGGCAGACCGCTGGTCATGCAACAGTCCAGGTTGCCCTGAACCACGGTTGAATGGCTATCCACGCACATTGCCAGCTTTGACTGTCCAGTTTCGCTGCGCGGCATTTGGACTTTTCACCGCGGAGCTCGAATATAACTAGTGTTATTAATACCTACCTACCATTATGCCCAATCGAATAATGAATTCCATTTCTAATCGTGTGGCAAGTCTTATATACGACACGATTCGTTTAAACATCATATCGTGGCGGTTGATATGAAGTGTTGCAAGTTTGACGCAATCTTGTACAAGAATGTTCGCAACTTCCAACTACCATATTATTCCGTGTACAAAAATGTGGAATAGTAATGTCGATATTAGAATTTGCCCTTTGTACGTTGGAAAATAAAAGAAAATTTGCGATGACCTCAGCGAAAAAATTTCCTCGATATTATTCCTTTGTGCCCGTACTGAAACCAGCATGTGTGTAGCAAGCGCGTTATACGGCTCTACGTGATTCTACGGTAGCCAGATCACCCGGTATTATCTCGACTATTCGCACAGAGCCGCGTAATAGCGGAGATACGAATAGAAGGAAGGAGACGTGGAGCCGCTGGTGACCATTTCTCGAGAGTTGCCAGCAGAAGAGACGAGGACGAGAAATGGAGGAGACAAGGACAGAGATCTAGATGGAAAGGAAAGAAATAAAGAAAAGAGGAAAGAAATGAAAGGCTGTCAGAGCTACGGAGAGCAAAGTAAGAGAGAGAGAGCGAGAGAGAGGGGGGGGAGAAGAAGAAGAGCAAAGGATGCGATTGCAGAAAGGAAGCGAGAAAACGGGAAGACGAGAGCGAGACGGAGGTCTAGGAGGGTATTAGCCGGTCTGAAGGGTGGATGCGAAGAAAGAGAGTTCCCTCTTTCTTATATATTTTTTCTTGTATTCTCCAGCGTTCCTTGGGAAAAGTTTGTTGTTTGAAGCAGCGCTCTGCCTCTCACCGATCATTAATCATGCCGAGTTTTGGTTTGACTAGCAGCAGCGTCGGCATGGCTCTCTCTCTCTCTCTCTCTCTCTCTGCCTCTCCCTCTCCCTCCCTTCCTCTCCCCTGCCGCCCCTTTTCTCCCCCTTACTCCTCTTATATTCTCTCTCTCTATTCCTCTTTCATCTCTGTGCATTCTGCTCCCCTTTCCCCTTTCACTCCCAGTTCGTTCCTGTTACGTCGCGTTCCTTGAGCCAACCTCGAAGCTTTCTGGGGGAAAGAAAGAGGGTTGCTGGCTAAGCGGCGGTGGGGTTGGCTCGCTTCTACCCCTCATCCCAGTCCCCTAATCTGCCTCCATCCCGCTCGATCCCACTGCACACCCCTTCGCAGAAGAAGAGGGACCGCTATACGGGAATATCATAGAAGGGTGCCACCATAGAAAAGGAAAACCCTCGTATTTCGTACTTTTCTTAGCCCCTTAAAAGCACTGTACGCCAACTGGGGCCATTTCTTTCTACGCTTTCTACGAAAGCTTTCTCCGTAATAATAGATTGTAAATCCTTTAATCCTATGCGGCGTTTCACGTACGCCACGTTTATCGTGGATGCCATCGTAATATCTGTTACACCGCTATCATCACATATCTGTATATCAAGAACGAAAGCTATTTTACAGTGTTGCGGTAGAGTTTATTCCCGGGTAAGGATTAAAATTTGCAGGAGCAATTTGATCTATCGTTCGCGAACAAGTGAAGTTTAATTAGAAATAAAATACGCTTTAACCCTGAATCATATTTCGCTATCTGACACCGCATTTGGGTGGAGATATCGAGATCGGAGGAAGAACGGAGGTGAAGCCATACCTGTGGATCGGTACCTCGAAAGTTACGGGGTCCCGCTGCAGTTGATTAACGATGTGAGCGTCCAGGTCGAGGTGGGTGGCGCATGCCTTTGTGACAGCACAGCCGCTCCTCCGCTCCTCGACATCGCCACCGTTGCTATCACGGATTATTATAACTCGTACGTTTCATCTGCCTTCTTCATCGGCTGTTCGGTAGACATCGAAATGGTCACCGGTTATCGTCACGTCCGTTTATCTACGTGGTGGTTCGAGACCTAACTTTGTACTCTCCGGGAGTGAATAATAAATATGCATACGAAATAACTTATGTTATTATCAAACTATATTTATTTTTGAATGCGAGAATTTAGTAAATTTATTATCAAGAATTTCAAGCGTAGACAGCTCGAAAATAGAATGTTTTAGAATTTTGTTAATAATTACACTGGTAGCATTAGCGTTCTTTGCTATTGCATTTGCGAATAATATTTATGAGAAACAGTTAATTAATTTTTATATCACAAACATATTAAAAATTTTATTATATAAATTAGTATTGCATATTTTTATAAAGTTTGTATAAAGAATTAAATATCATATTAAATAGGAAAATAAACACGGTACTTATGCGCAACAATGTTATTTTATACAAAATCAAAGTTTCCATGTACATGTATGTTTTATCAGTATACAAAGATTTCTAGTAATAGAAATTAAAGCGATTACACTCACAAGTCACACACATGTTTATAAGTCGGTAACTAATTTTATTCGATAAAATAGACATTCTATTTATTCTAAATAATTTAATTTAATTTAGTTAATGAAATTAAATAATATAAACTGATTATTGCATTATAAATCTCATCTTACGTTATATTACGTTAGAAACATGGTGGTCCATCATTGAAAACAACCAGGCGGAATCCATTTTGCGAAATGAGTTGGGTCCAGCGAGAGCAGAGAAAAGAAGGAAGGCGGGTAAAAAGGATAAGGGTCGATCTGACGAGGGTACCTACCCTATATTGGCAGGCGTGGCTGCGGGCTGTAGGGTGCAAGAGGGTTTTGAGGGATCGCTGATTGGTTCTCACCAGCGGGATCGACTGAGAGAGAGAAAGCGAAACCTTGTGAACATGGGATCTATGGGGCTGAAATGTCGAAGAAGACGAAAGCGTATGACCCCTTCTCTCTCTCTTATTCATGCAAAAAAGGGGTGCACAATTCCCTTATTCACGTAGCCCTTTAGTAGAATGCACATTTATGCGAATGCTCTTATATACATATACATGGATATTGCCTGAAATATGATTATTTCCGATCTCCGATATTCTATATAAGCTATTCTCATACATTTTACTTACATTAAATGTAAATTAAATACTGTATATAAAACTTGATTTAATTCCGTCTCTTATATTTTTAAAATGCTATTAATATTACTTGTGCAATTTTGGAGAAATTTTTCATGTTTTTGATGTATGCTATCGTGATCTTAAGGTATTCTTTTTTGACAAGAATCAAAATAGTCTAACAAAAAATTAGGCAAGATATAAATGTCCAATATTATCCTAGCTTCAATATAATGTGCAAACAGCAAGTTTAAAAATTAATTGGGTCTAAATGCAAATTATTGTCAATTATGAATGATTTCAAGCAAGGATCGAAATTTTTGCTTTAATAAAGAAAAATATCATTACGAGATACAAATAATAAGAAAAAATATTTTCTTATACATATTTTATATACCTTGCGCGCATTTTTTTTATCATTATAGTCTGAAGGATGAGAAAAAGAAAAAAAAACGATGGAAAATGTTCGCTTTTGATAACGTCATTTGGTGTCGGGTCTGCGAGTGAACTTGGGTATGAGGGACACCAAAGTTTTCTGGGTGACGGTGGCTGGAGAGTGACTGGCGCGATTGCAAGCCTCTAGATAGGTGATTGATTCACTTTGAATGATTAAAGAACGCCGAAAAAGGGCAGAAAAGTGGGGGCCAACATAGCATTCGATAGACTCATCAAACTTTCAGGGAAAATATTAAAGTTTTCTCTGAATAAAGTAAAGTGAATAGAATGTAATTATTCACTTCAACAAATTAAACTTTCGAATTACTTAAACAGTTTTCATGCGCTTTCTTGCATTATGTATTCATCTTTTATTTGTTTAGAGACATTTATTTAGAAAATAATATAGTTTAATAATTTTTTCTATAATTTCCAAACATCATTTGTATTACACCATAAAGTAAATTTGTTACATTACACAATAAAAATAATATTGATGAAATATTACAAAGTAAATTCATTAGATTAACAACACAGTTTTTAAATATTTAAAAGATTGTTTTTTTTTTTAATAGGCACGTGTAAAAAATACATGTTTTCTAAATTTGTATTTCTAACGTGTCCTCTGTATTGATCATTAATAATATATTTCAAAAAAACCAATTTCAAAGATCTTTTGTCAATAAAAGAGACGTGCAAATACATACTTAATACAATATATAGACGTGTAAATAACAGTAAAGACCACACACTGTTTTCAAAATTCGAAACTTTTTCTTCAGAAGAATCAAACGAAAAAAAGGAATTAGCATTTAAATCATATTGTTACGAAACTATAATAAGATAAAACAAACCAGTTATTTTGTGCAAGGAATACCTACGAGCATACCACTGTATATGAAATCCGAATCAAAGAATTCGGCCTTCTTTGTAGTCAAAACATTAAATACCTAGTTGATTTATTACTGTGCGAAAAATTTCTTTTTTATCTTTTTTACAAAGAAGAATGTTTAAGAATCTTTCTAAAAATGCAAAAATTTTTGACGGATTGATTTTGAAAGCTAAAGAAAGGCAAACCATTAAAAAGAAATGTCATCTTATTGTTAGAAAGAAATCATTCAAAACGATGATTTGCACAAAAATATAAAACACATGCCTTTACCTTTTTTCCAGCCCAGTATTTTAAAACCGAATATTTCTTTCCAAATGGATTATGAAATATATAAATATATAAATGCATTCGATATTGTTTTATTATTAAAACAATATCGAATGCATCTGCTTATGCAGAGTGCAAATTTACAGAGCATTTATTAGAGAGATATATAATATATCAAATATTTTAAAATGACACTTTAAGATAAATTTTGATTAAAAGCAGTTAAGATTAAAACAATATTTGCCAAACAAAATGCTATCTTTTATTTCTTTTTTCAAACCATTATCTATTTTATAAATTAAATTTAAAAATTTTTAATTAAATAATTTCATGCTTTGCTATTAAAATAATAACAACTTATTTTCTAATATCTTTGTTCGAATTAGCGATAGTCTTTGGATGTGCTATATGATAATAATAAATATAAGATGTGCGATAATATGAATACGGCAAAGAATTTGATTATAAAAATAATGCGCATCGCAATGAACTCGCTGAATATCGAGGTTCATTGATCGAATATATATATAAGAATGTAGGTATGACGATTGACACATTACATCAGGAATGGTAAGATTGCGAAGCGCACAATTGGGTTGTTGAGATTTTTCTTATGCAGTTGAGAAGCGAAGTTGAGGTAAGATAAAGGTCGATAGGAGTATCAAAAGGGGAATGAAAGATAGCGGTACTGCTTACGGAGGGTTATTGTGCGTCCATCGGTTACGGCTCATCAGCTGCTGTAACTCCTATCTTCGCCTCTCGTAAGAAAGATCGAAGGTCCCAAGGCGCCAACTTCATCCTATTCCGCTTTTGTTGTGTTTCTTGCCTACTTTTCACGCTGATCGGTTATTCTATCCTATTTTGCCTAGCTTTCGTGATTTGTCATAAATCTTTAAATTACTACTAAATAGCACAATTTGCGAGTTTTTGGTGCACTGCTGACACAGACGGTCCCTTGCGGGATTATCCTTTCAAACCCGATTATCCAAACTTGTTTAGAAGGATAATCCCTGATTTCTAAACTATGTAAGCCTTTTTCGTACGGACACAAAGCATGGAATTTCAAACAAGCCGATTTTTTTTCGTACGATAAAATATCTGGCGAAGATTAAAAGTATTATATGCTACATCACGAATTATGTAAGTCCGCGCACATTGTGCGTCGTCTACGTGCAGAAAACTGACGTCACGATTATCAATACTTATTTTTAAATGATCTAACGCATGACTATGTGCAGATTACGTGTGTGACTTACCTGTGCGAGAGAATCATGGTTTAATTCGAAACCATTAGGGTGAGGCGAATCGATTGCGATTTTCTGCGGGGCCCATACGCGCACCGGAATTTTTGAAAAATGAGGCGCTCTCCTCGTCTCAAAAGTGTTTCTAAAACGCTTGAAAAAATGCCGACAATACAAAACCATTAATCTTAACCTCGCGCTGCCGTGTGCTCTTTCTTCGTCTCCCGTTCTCGGAACCTTCGTGCCTTCGGGACATCCCTTTGCACTTACCTTCTGCAACAACACTTTTCCAGAGTGCTGTTTCTTGGTTTTCAGAAAAGCGAGATCCACAAACGCGTGTGTTTAAAAAGAGTTTGCAATGAATATTAGCTCTGAAATTAAACTTGCTGAAGAATAAATAAAAAGGCTGCATTGTGTTTTGTGCAAATACATCTTGACTTTTTTTAATGAGAAATAAAAATCAAAGTTTTAATTTAATTTAACTTCTTTCAATATTCGATTGATATATATATATGTACACTATACGATTATAAATAATTGTTTATATATATTTTTTTGTTTTTTTTGTTCGATTATAATACAAAGATTTGATTTATTATTTTTCTACAAGACTTCAATAATTTTACAATATAAGAAAAGAAATATTTTAAATAAAAAGGTTAATTGTTCTCTCCAGTTCTCGGTTATTAACAAAAATAGAATACAGTAATATATTAATCAAATAAAATTGAAAGCTTAAATTTAAGTTTATTAAAAGTTTTGAAAATGTTTACATTATTTAATTATTTATGTTATACGATTTAATTTTAAATTTATAATTTAACTCGATTAATAATAAATGTTTTTATGCAAAATTTTTATAAAATTATTATAATTTAAAAATTAAAAATGTTTTAAAACTTTTCGCATTCTTCATTTTTTTACTATAGGAATTTTCTTTATATTTCGTTGCCTGCAAGGTTTTTGGAATCAATAGCCTTTCCGACCTTTATTCAGGATCAGTCAAAGCAGGTCACTTGTCAAAGTCAATCACTGATAGACAGTTTGGAAACAATTAGTAGGGAGACAAATTTTGGGTCATCATCTGTCGAACGAAAAACCCGACCTATTCTTTTCGAACAATGCCGAAACATTTTTAGTGTATGCAAACTGCTTTTGAAACGGAAGACGGAGGGTGTCGAATGGTAATTGCCGAGGTCATGGGTGGTAAACGACCTTAACCTCCTTACCTCCTTCTTTCCTTCAGGCAGTAATCAACAGCATCCTGCAGAACGTGTAAATGTTCCCATAAATACCGCCTCTTCAGCAATGCTGCTGCTGCTGCCGCAAATAAAAACAGCTAGCAATACCAACGTAAGACATACATCCGTCACCGTTCGTAATATTGTGTATGACACATTTAAGAACTCACTTATACTCTGGATTTTTAGGTCAACGTAAAATTTAAAAACAGAAGAAGTATAATTACACACACGCGCGCGCTCGCACAGGCATGTATGTAAATCAATCTTATCAACAAAATTTGCTTTGCTTTGCTCAGCAAGTTTACAAATATTGCAAGTATAAGCATTGTTTTTAAAAATTTAAGCACACAATTTTCGATGCTTTTACCTGTTTGTGCAAACCACGCATTCCTCGTATGTCCTCGCGATAGTTGACCCCGGATTTGTTTGAGGAAGAGTGTCAAGATTGTCAAGAGGGATTGGCGCTAACGACGCTTCGAATTGCAAAGGTAACGAGCCACTTTTGCGCCTCTTCACGCGTCGTCGACATAAATGGCTACAGGCACTTTTTTATTTTCCACTACCTTTTCAAGGAAGCTGGAAAAGTGCGTTGTATATGCAAATTGCTTTCAAGCGGCGATGTCAGGTGGTAATTGTCCGAGGTTACGGATCGAAGGTCGCGTTAACATCTTTACTGCAATGCCCAGCCGATAATTATCGCGCTTCTAGTGACTCTTCATCTTCTCCTATCCTGTAAGTGGGGCTACTGTTGGCCAAGAAATGACTTACAGCTGACACTTTCACTCACACGCTGCTTCACACATCGAACTTGGGGGTATTCGTCCAGTTGCCTGATGAAAGATGTCATGTTCATTGCCATCAACGTGACTTTGCGTCAATGCCGCTCGTCAAGCTATTGTCGCCTCGCGCGGTGCTTTTTACATTTTTGATGGGAACATTTTTTTTCTTTCAATAAAATTGTTTTTTCGATGCGGTTCGTAAATTAATCATTCAAAAATTTTGTTATTATATTTTCTAAGACAAATAGATTATAACATTCATATTTCAACAGCCAAAATTATACTATCATTATTTATCACTTTTCGATAAAATAATTAACATTTTACTTATAATCTTTCTCTTTGTATTAAAGAAAGTTGCAAAATATTTGCACATATTTTTATGTCGTCTAATCGAGCGTACGCAAAAAAAAAAAAGAAATAGTCTCAAAGAACGTTCGGAAGGCATCTAAGGCATCAGATGTATACTGGATGTCCCCAAGGGAGCATGGACCCCTTTTCATGTCGGCAAGCTCGAGATCGTGACTCAGCAGCGAAATCGAATCTCCAGAGACTCATGTTTCTCACCTTGGACAGATCCGCTGCCAACACCTTGAGTTAGAACGAATACGAGAAATACATTCACATTTTTTCTAAATTTCGAAATCTGAAATGCAATGCGTGAGATGCATCTCGCATGATTTTTCCCGATAGATCTATCGATCATCGTAGAATTATATTGATTCGCAAATATTTTGAATACAGTTTGAATTTGGAACGAATCATCGATCGATATTCCCCGAAGGATGTAACAAAGATTAGATTATGATTTCCTTGAAAACTGATTTATTCCACAACTTTGCGAAGTAAAGCAATAGCTATTCAACAATGCATATTCATGTACCCTACTTTCCATAAACTATTTGTTATAACTATAAAGACGAAAAACTTCAATACACATTGCATTTTTATAAACTTTTTAAAATTATATTAATTTCCTTCAAAATATCTCGTCTGCAGTTTTCTGCCTTTGGTCGAGATGATTAATCAGTTGGGACCTCACTAAAAATAATCCCGGAAACGCAAATTCGCACAGCTTCAATATCAGAGACGATGCTCCTCTTTCATAAGCGATCAACAAGTTGAATATAACTGAAACGCCGTTAATAAAGCGATGAAAATGATAAATCGCAACGGTTCCACCCCCGTCCGAGCACCGTATTGCGTTATTAAAACTTTACTAATGGGCAATAATAAGCACCAGCCTTGGCCAAGATTGATATTAAATCGTAAACTGTTTCGTCCTCATTTATCATTATCACGATGCAAGTCCGTTGAACTCTTTAAATCTTGAATCCGCGAAGAATTCTTGCCAAGCGGACTTTTATAGAGAGGTAACACATGTTATAGTTTAAGTTCAATTATTTAAAGAGCGCATTGCTATTTTAATATTTATTCCGACTCCTCGAAATATTTAAATGTAACAAATCGATTGAATAAACTTTAATAAACAGATATATTTTTTCAGTTATCAATATATTGTTTAAAAACTCATTAATATTAACCAAATTTGACCGCTAAGGCGTTAATACAACTTTGCGGAAACACAACTCGTTTTAGATGTCGAAACATCGACAATCCTCTGTAAGGACAACAAAATTCATGAAGTGATATGACAGATCCATGTGTGTGATCTCACGGTAATCGTCACTTGGATGATCACACATTCGTCCGGTAGCCGAAAGGACTCGTCGTTGACGAAGCAGGCCCTCTTCGAGGATAGCCGTGGGTGTAAAGGGGGTGTCATGCCGGCAGACTGGGAAAAGTGATTGATCGTGTTTCGCCGGAAGACAAGAGCAGAAGACTCGGGGCAGAACCGGAGGAAAGGAGCAAGACGACGAAAGTAGAGATGGCGTAAGATGGCGGTGGATGAGGAAAGAGAGAAGGACAGCAGTTCCCCGAGCGTCGTCGGTGATAAAGACGAGGAGGTTGTGTCGCAAAACGAGGAGACAACCCCCTCTAGCCTCCTCTACGTCATTCAGCGGCCCCTTCAACCCCTCTGGACTCTTCCAGATTCCACTCAAAGCTCCGCTCTCCTGCTTGGAGCGACATGAAGTGGCCATAAGAAAAATAGAAATAAGCCGCGGCGTATCCGAGTAAACGAAGAACTAACTCGAGAGGGAAAGAGAGATCTCGTAAAAACGGGCGATGCGTTTTCAGCCTTTCTGAAACGTTCAATCCTAAATCATCTCTATTTTCTCTATTTAGCGCGTATCCGACATTAATTAAAGGGCATTAAACGATAAGAAACATTTTTCGTTCAAAAGCTTGAATTTTAAATTAAAATCTATTTAATTCATATGAAACGAATCTTAGCCTCGCGTCGCTTTTGTTCTGTAATACCGTTCTACAGTATACTGTTATTTCCTGCAGATCGTTTATACAGCACACAGCCAATGTAGCTTAAATTTACCGTGCTGTATTGTCGTACCAAGGCAAAACACAGTGAGTATGCTCTTTGTGTAATGACTCGGCGTTTTATATTCTCTATGCCACGCAGCTGATCGCGAGTAGACGTACTTGACCGAGTACGCCGAGACACCAGTGCATTAATATGAGCAAAGTGTAATCGAACGGCAGATCTATTACTATTAATTTAGCCAATTCCATCTCGCCTTACGTAACATCTTTAGCTTGGTTGTCAATTAATTATAAAATTAAAGATAGTTGATTTAACGATAGCGTAAAATACATGTCTTTTTATCCTTTATTCATTACCCCTGTTTCGTAATAATTAATATAAAATTGATAAATGTACCTATTTTTTACTTGACATAAATATGAAAAGTATACATTATAATTTGTTTGTACGAGTATCAATTAATGATAAATACATTTCATTAATAACAAATTCAGGTATTAAATTATATCCACTTAAACAGAGAAGAGTCTTAATAGGGATCAATTAACGCTCAGTTTTCATATAATATTGGCAAGTAGAGCTGTAATGGGCGAGCTGTTATGGTAACACCTGCTGGTCACGACAAATAATTCTGAATTAGTAGCACGATTGTTCTCGCAATAGTATTATCGATATCAACAACATTAACGTTCATTGCTACTGTTTCTCTCGGCATTGACTCTGGCTATAAGATGAATTTCAGAAGCATGGAGGCGGGTTAAGGGAATATGTAGGAGTGACTCCACGATTATAGGTACCCTCGAGTATGCCCCATAAGGGCACAAGATCCACTGTTTCCGTGGCAGGGGTTGGTCTCATGCCGTCGCGGAGTGGGGGTGATTCTAGAGAAGACGCATGACGAGAAAGAGGGGACGCGGCTCTCCGCATCAGCTCAAAACCCACCGGCGCGAACGGAGCTGGAGGGAGTTGGAAGCAAACCAGAGTTGCCAGACGAGTTTCTGCCGACGCGGGACGAGCTCACTTTCATAGGGCTTTCCGACGAAACCTCTCTCTGACTCAATCTTTATTTTACAGTAGAAGTCATTTACGATTCGAAACGCAGCAGTGACAGAAGTGCAGTGTGGAGATAACATGTTCGTTTATTTAAAAAAAATATGATTCGTATGGAAACGCTTGACTTATCAAAATTGTTTGCAGAAAAGTCAACTTGATACCTGCATCGAGCTGATGATGTGAATAAGAAGTGAAAGTTTATGAAAAACACAAGTGTGTGGTGTATCATATTAGGAAGCAAGACATTTGGGAACGTGCGTTGAAATTAATAAACTACAAGTGGCTATACGGAATCTCCGATGACAATCGTGAAATAGCGAAGCAAAGCAAGAAGTTGCTGCACCTGCCGCAGTGGTTCTCGCGGCGCCACTCACGTGTTGCATGCGTGCCGTGGTTATCCATCATGGTCGCGGACTAGAACCAGCTCCGATTGGTCGGTTTTGTGGTCACGTGGTATGGTAATTGGGCTCCGGTGGGCGGGAAGGAGCGAACGAGGTCGTGGAGGATCGCGAAAGTGGCGGAAGGAGAGGAGAGAATAAGCAGCTGTCCACCGGGAGTCCTGTGCTCGTTGTGGTCCCGCTCTTTCCATTTCTTTTCTCTTTTCTCCCTCTCTTTCTTTCTCTCTTTTCCTCCTTTCGAGAAAACGTCACCCCTTTTCGCAAGAGACGGTGAGGTGTGGACGATGGACCACAGCGCAGTGCCGTGCAGTGTGAGCTTGTGAGAATGAATATTATATGAACTCGAAATGGTGTGCTGGATCGAAGAATTGATGCAGAGAGCAAGATAAGAGAGTAGAACCGAAGAGTGTGGTTGTTTAAAATTTATTTGAACTATCGCGCGTGTGTGTTTTTCACAAGAAAGTACTTAGGAACATGAATTCCTTCCTTCCATCCGCCGCCGGTGGATATCATCACCATCAGCATCAACAGCAAGCTGGAAATCATCATCTAGCCACGACTTCCTCGTTGGTCGATCCAAAGTTTCCTCCCAACGAGGAATATAGTCAAAGTAATTATATACCTTCGACCGGAGCAGATTTTTTCTCGGGTGGCAGCGGTGGTCATCATTTAAGCCATCCGCAATCTCAACTGCAGTACGGTTACCATCAACATCATCACCAAGCGGCGTCGACTCCTTACGGGGCTTCTTCAGCGGTACAATTAAACGGAGGATACGCAGGATACGGCGGATATTACCATCCTCATCACCAAGTGCACGCGGTTCATCACGCCAGTTTACATTCTCATCATCACGCGGTGGGTGCTTTAGCGATGCCGCCGGAAGCTCAACAACCACCGCTCACGTGTCCGTCGTCGATACAAAGTCAACAGCAGCAACAGCAGCAGCAACAACCATCAGTACCAACGTCGACTATCCTCGCATCCACGCCTCTGTCACCATCTATGATGCAGAATCATGTGCAGCAACCGGATGCCCTTCAGCATCACCAGCACGAGAATAATGCCTGCAGTCCAGCCGGTTCGGGTCAATTGCATCGAGACAATTCACCTGATCTTCAAACGCAACAGTCATTGTCTCAGCAGTCTCAACATATACAGAGCAGCCAACAACAAACGCCGCCGCAACAACAACAACATCATGTAGAAGACAGCTCGGATGCGGATGATATAGAAGATGGTCAGATGGAAGGTTCACCAGGAATGATGGAGGATGAAGAAGAAGATGAAGAAAACAGAGATCGTACAATTTATCCGTGGATGAAAAAAATTCATGTTGCAGGCGTCGGTAAGTTTATATGGATTTGCAGTTATTTTTGTTATTCTCATCAGTAAAATACTCTACTGTAATTTTATCCCAGCAAACACTAAATTTCATGTAACGTACATGTTAGTTGTAATTTCCCACTCAACAATATGTAATATATAATGTAACACATGTGTTATATTATAGTTACAATTATGTTATTGTTGAATGGAAAATAACAACTAATATGTACGTTAAATGTAACTTTATGTTTGCTGGAATTATAGTAATGTTAAAATTTATTTTATTTTCATCACTTATATCGTAGTGTTATATTTTTCATCTTTATCCCTGCCTCATCTTAGTTTTAGAGAAATATTTTTATATCTATTTTTAATTTTAGAACTATATTATTTGTTTGGTAAATATAAGCATATATAATTCAGTTAGTAAGATACAACAATTAATAAAGGTTATCAATATTTCTATTTTGCTTTATATTGTGAAGAGTGTAATTAACCGCTACACAGAAATATATCCGACGGCTCGGAGATATTGCTGTATCTTATATGATACGCTAAATAATCTCAAATATAAAGAGTATATATTTATAATTATGATAATATAAATTAATGTTTTTATTCATTTTGATTTTCTCTTAAGAATTATTGTTTCTCCTTATATGAAAATCACAAATTTAAACAAAACCGAGTTAAATTGATTAACGTATATATTAAGTATTTATCATCTATTATGTATATTAACGGATTAAGTATATTTATCATTTCTTATTTTTATTGCTCTTTATTCTAATCTCAATACTGTTTAAAATAAAACAGCGATAAACATTGATTTTGAGACATAAATTTGAAGGAACCGATACAAAATTGACTTTAAAAACTTTTCTTCTGAATGCGAGAAACCTGCGAAAGTATTTATTTGTATATTTAGAAGGTATACATTACATTATGTGTTTACAAGGTGAAGAGCTTTAGAATCGTTCCGAAGAGTTATGGGCTGAAATTTATCCTAGCACCTTGCGATCACCTGCGTTGTAGCAGCACCTCGTTTTATAGATGAATTCGGTTACGCCTAATATATCTTCATCTTTTGTACAGTAGCGAACGTATACTACAATAATGGGATGTCCACAGCACACAATTCAGTGTTGCGGGCAAAAATAAATTTCGAAATTTGACACAGAGATTCTACCGTGTTTTAAGTAGGTAGGACGTTCATCATTGTGCAAGGTTGGAAGCGTTCAAGACTTGAAACAGATGCCGGTGATGGTATAACGCTCCTGGTTGTTGTAATTAAGGCAATTAGCGCGAATGTAGTTCTTCTTTCATAATTAATCAGACAACTACTTCCAGAACTAATATACGCGTGCTTCCTATCTTCATAAAAATAGAAAGACGTTTTGAGCGTAACCGCAACACACAGGTATATTAATTAATGTCTCACAAATTACAGAGCAATGCCTCTTTAAGCAGTGTATCTGTAACGCATTCGTTTCTCTTCAAAGTTTGTCGTATTTTACATCATGCTAAGCTAGAAACCTATTCCGCAGGTATATGAAGAATTATTAAAGACAGTTTTTGCAACGTAATATCCCTTCGGAATTAGACTGGCTTTTGCTGCCACAAAAATTTCTATTCCGTTTGACCGCGAAAAACGCTGCTCATTCCAGCTTGCAAGTATTTCTTTTGAGAATATGATACAATAGAAAATAAAATCCCTTACCGTACTGCGAGACCCGCCTAATTTATGCTTCCAAGTAAAATCTGCAACAGAAAAAGTTATTTCTTTTATTAATACTAAAAATCAATATAACGGAACAAACAAAAACATAACAACTTTTTTATTCAATTAATTTATTGTATGTATAAAAAGGAAAAAAGTGCATGATATTGTTTGAATGTTGTTTTATTTTTTTTTTAATATTTTTTAAACATTCAACACTCTGCACAAAATTTAACATGCCCTAACTTATAATATATAAAACAAAAGTATAAAAAGAAATAGATAAACATCTTTTTTTAATGAGGATATCTCAAAAAATTTTGAAAATAACTTGCTAATAATATATATCTGAATGCAATAATTACATAAAAGTTACAAAAGTATTTTAACAAATTTATTTAACAGACTCTTGAGAATTAATCTGATAGACTACATCTCCAAGAATGTTTGCGTGCGACTTCTATTAAAGCGTGACCATGAAGAGTATATAGAAATAGACAGATCTGATTTTTATGTAAGTTGATTACTACTTATGCGACAGTATTTCCGAAATTTTAATTTTTCTTACTGAGGATGTTTTAATGTAAACTGAAACGTTTGAGGACATTTATATCTGTATAATTTATTAATAAGATTTATTAATAATATATGTTTTATTGCACTAACAACGTGCCTGGTTCATTGCCCTTCATTTGATTCTCATTTTATTAACAGATATATATAGGAATACAAACAAAAGAATATATTTTAAATATCACATAAAGAATAGAACAGAAAAGACATATATCTAGTCTAGCTAGATTGAAAAATGCAGTCTTCAAACTCTTCAATACTATCGAAAAAGTTTGACTTGCAAAGAGAGCTGTAATCGTTATATTAAAAAGTTCCGTCAAACATATATACGATGTTGTAAGTTACATTTTCCGTTATGCTAGGAATCGGGCGATTTAATATTTGAAATCTGTGAACTTTGGTATGCTCGTCCGTCGGGCTGTCAGAGACTGCAATCTCTCCCCTTTGGTTGTCGAAGTATGGTCGCCGGACGTCGGAGTTAAAAGGGGCCTCCGCGAGACCGACGGTCAGCTCGGAATGGAATGTCCGCACGGATTCTAGACTGAACTCTGTTCCCATGTTTCCTCCATCGAACTGAACAGACCACCACGGATTGCTACTAGCGTGACTCACAAATATTAAACATCAACGTGCCACAGCAGGATATTTTTTTCAATCTATTTGTTCAGTTGTTCGTAGCGTTTTAATCGTATCTGATTATTTTCCAGAGTACACTTTGAACATTTCGCGGTTATTAATATTTACCTTTGCGCGCGTTCCTTAATATGTTATAGAGATTTCCGCCGAATACTAATCAACTGCAAAATCAATTCCATGTTTCAAATAGCTCTCTAAAAAAACTTAACGGACCTAACGAACAAGATTATCAAATTATTTAACCTTCAAACTAGTTTGTAAAGGATAATCTATTGTTTCTGCATTTCTTTAGATGATGCTCAGCGGGACCAATGCGCGTGTACGCTTGGCACTTTTTATTCTCGTGAATTTGCATACGCGTATTCTACCTTCACAACTCAACCAGCGTATCTCATGGATTGATCAGATTACAAAAGTCACTTCAGCCGACTTTGATGCTATTCAAAACGGCCATGACGTGACGAATGGTCATATGCTATAAAAATGTTATTTGCGTATAATATCTCTCTAGACATCAACGCAAAGAATATTTTATAATTGCAGTATAATAATCATACAAAGTACAACGAATTCTTTTCCTTTTGCTGTTGAAATAGCACATGGTGCTATTTCAGATCCCACTTAAGCGAATCATTTTTCATATTTATTTGCATCTCACACTATATTTTAACGCTTTGAAAAAAAGAATTTTTGTAACAAGCATATTAATCCTTTCTTCACAGAATTTGTTACTAGGATTTGGTGAACGACACATGTGAAACGCTTAATGAAAATGTCATTAAAATCTTTAACACACATACCAATGATACAATGAATAATGTTGAGTAAAAGATTGTTCAAGAGATCAAAGATTTATTTATTTGTGGTACTTCGTCAAATTAATAATAAAAACGTTAGACATTGGAATATTAAAAAAAATTAAGAATTGATTTCAGAAATGAAAAGAATGAATTCTATATAACAAATTAATTGCAATGCAATTTCTTATGCCACACGCAGAACACTGTTTTACAAAAGCATTGCATTAACTATTAATATAGAAGTTTTATTATTTCTTGATATGCATGTACATTTGTATGATGTGATATATAATAATTATATAATATGTAAAATACAATTTTATAAAAAATGTTTTATAAAATTTTAAAAACTGATATTAATACGTTCTGTACCGAGTTAATTTTAAGTGATTTGTTCACTACGCCGCATAAATTGCCGGTGACCGACGGATTTTTGCTTGTGTTTATTTGTCAATTAAAATGTATTTTGTAATGATTAAAAACTATAAAAATTGTTATAAAGAAGAAGGCCTAATGTACCCATTATGTCATACATCACAACTATTTATTTTCACGTATAATATATCAGAATTTATTTTATAATTTATTTTATTAAGTTTATTTTTATGACTACATCAAATGGTCTGAAGGACCGTAATCTAGTGTAGGTCACCCATGCACGGAATGTGTCAAATTAATATAAAATATTATATTAATAAGTTAATCCAAAGAAATAAAATTGAACAATTAAAATGTTAAAGTAAACTCTATTAGAAATTAACTTAAGAATAATGTTTTATTATTTATACGTTTGTAATTTTTAAGTTTAATTCATGGAAAGATATTCATTGTCAATCGCTTGTAATGCAAACATTCAAAATGATAAATACATTGAAATCTGTTTTAACACTTTAAATTATATTTAAAAAATTAACGAATATAAGTAATTTGGATACCTGAATCTGTGTATCTTTTATATTTTATACAATGTAGAAAATAAAAAAAGCATTGAGAGCATGTTATGAATTCGATTTTAAGCATAAATTTTTTGGTGTCAGTTTAGTCAAAATATTAAGATACCAATATTTTGTATTATGAGCGATTAAAAGTTTTTTTGCAAAAAATATCAAAGAGTTTTAAGCATAAATAGAATTTACTTCTTATTCGAGTTTATTTGTTTTAAAAGAGTTTTAATATAATATTTAATTGTTGAAATATTTAATATCTAATATGAAACATAAAATTTTTCAAAGAGAACGTTTTCATGAAAGAGAACATACTTCTGCAAGAAAGAAGAAATGGACAAAGAAGGAATCGACTTGAAAATAGTCAAAGAATCTATTATTAAAGTGAAATTCATATGCTAGAGTACAACCTGTGTAGCCACATATTTCTCGTCAGATAAAGAAGAAAGTAGTATTTCCGGAATTGAGCCGGATTCGCCGTTATTTATAGCCTCATAGTACTAACATATTTAAATTTTTGTTTCTTATAGCAAACGGCTCATATCAACCTGGAATGGAGCCAAAGCGACAGCGAACTGCGTACACAAGGCATCAGATACTTGAATTGGAAAAGGAATTTCACTACAATAGGTACCTGACGAGACGGCGACGGATCGAGATCGCTCATACTCTGGTCCTGTCGGAGCGACAGATAAAAATTTGGTTTCAAAACCGCCGTATGAAATGGAAGAAGGACCATAAGCTACCGAACACGAAAAACGTACGCAGAAAGAATGCGAACGGCCAGGCGCCGCCAACAGCAGCTAAACCGGCAAAGACTTCGGCGACGCGGACGAAGTCCGGGACCGGTAACAACAATAGCCAAAGGAAAAACAACAATTCGCCTTCCAGTGGTATGGAGAACAGTCTGGACTCAAACATCGGTCATGATATGAGCGAAGTTCATGGGGTCAGCTCCAGTATTCCTCATCCCGTTGGCGTGGTTCACCCGAGCTTTCAAGGTCATCCTCATTCTCTGGCTCATCTCCAAGCACAGCTGAGTCATCATCACGTGGGTGGAATGATGGACGGTCCGACGGGTGGACCGTTGGGACACATAAGTTCCGGAAGTATCAGTCCTCTCGCTCCAGCTACCAGCCCTCCCGGATTGTCGCAAGTATCAGCTCCTGTGCCGCCATCGGCGATAAAATCCGACTATGGACTCACGGCTCTGTAACATCCATTCCGTGAGGTATATTCAATAATATAATACCTTTTTCAATACCATTTAATGCGACCGCTCTCCGTGGATAATTCCACTGTTCGACTGGATATTTATTGCAAATTAGATAAACGTAGTTTGAGTTTTTCTCATTGCAGCGTGGACAGGGAGAGTAGTCTCAAAACGTAAATTGAGACCTCACAGTCTTCAAACGGCAGTATTATTTTTCTTTTACGTATACGCGTGAATATGGCAAATGTCTACAACTGCAATTCATTAACTACAATACTGTAAAATGCTAGATCTAAAATTATTTAGCTATTTCTTAAATCTATTATATTATTAAAGATGTTCCCTGATTTGTAAAGTCGTGAAAACCAAGTCTGAAAAAACTTATCATAAATAAACAAAAAAGATAGAGAGAGGAACATAATTCTGTAGTAAACAAAAATAATGTCTCGATAAAAAATAAAATATACTGTCAGACTATCAGATCATCAATAAAAAATCATTTATTATTAATAATTCATGATTAATAATGAATGTACTTATATCAAAATAACAAGAAATTTTATTTTTACTATAATATATAATAATATTTTGTCTGCTATATATATACATGACTGAATTTGTTTCTGGATTTACAAGTATTGATTATTGAATGAATAAAATTAAATTAACATTTCAATAATAGTACTATGACAAATCCTGCTATCATTATTAGCAATTGTTCCATTATGGTTGTTATCAAATTTTTTATATTATTGTAAATTCCAATCAATGATGATAAAATTTGATCAAGATTCTTGATGTTACGTGTTTCAGTTTGCAAATTAAATAATAACATATCTACAGTAGACGATATATGTCTTTATTGCATAAAGTTTAATGTGTTCACATATTTGGAATATTGTGTCTACATATTCATGTATCATAACTATTAGAAATTATAAAACTAAATTTTTACATTTAATTTAATGTTATGTAATATTACCATTATTACTTTATTTCTTGAATTTTTAATTTGCCAAACATTTACGCGGCTGTCAAACTTAGGCAAACTCTTAATGCACGAATATCTACACCATATCCAAATATATATTTTATGTGATAACACACATATATGGCTTCTACTGTTTAATATGATAAAAAATTTGTGCATATGTTATGCGTAATGTACATGATACATCTGACAGATTAGAATTCTATATCTGGCAAATAAAAGTACATATGTGTGCAAATATTAAGCTGTAAAATCAAATGAAAGCAGGATCCCTTAAATTATAATTCGTTTTTTTATTGCAATTAACGAATTATAGCAAAAAAAAGTTATAAACGTCGTTTTAATACTTTCTTTATGTCTTCAAACACCTGGATATTCCTTAAATTTCTTATCAAAACTTATAATACAAAATATTGTTAGTCATCTCCCTATTGTATGCATAATACCAATATCTAAAAAAAATAGATACTTGGTAAAATGTGAATTGTATATATATTCAATTTTATGTATGTATATATTAGTGTAAAGAGAGTTTTATTACAACGATTGAAATAGTGTTCATATTTCGTGTATTGCATTATCTGTTGGTACTAACGTTTTACATTATAGACGAAAATTGAATTTTTAAGTAAATCATTATGATATGATTGCAGAATAATTATTAATAATATAACAGAAAGCAACAAATTTTTAGTAATGCCACAAATATAATTTTCATGTATGTTGTCATACTCCTGAAAAACTATCATCTATCCGGAGTAGTTTAATTGTCGGAAACAAAATATTTTAAAAGATCTCTTTAAACACTTAAAAAAAATAATACAAGTTAATTAAAGCTACCCACTTGAACACATCCTTCCGTAACGGGACATTGTAAATAATTCGAAATGAATAGTATATATTTTTACCGAAAGCGAACGAGGAATGACCAATAATAAATTAGGACGCAATTGCACCGTGAATAAATCGGAAATTGTACTATTAAGCGAGTAGTAATCAAACAATTAATGCACAGAACCGCTGTGACGATATACCAAAACAATATTATTAGGATATAAGAAACAGAGTTATAAACGTTAAGGTACATTAATTCTAAAAAATCGAATTAGTGTAACTAGTGAAAGAATATAAGAAATAAGTGTATGAGTTTCGAGATTGTTCTATAAGTGTGACATTATACCCTCTTTGCTATAACTATTAATTGTATATAGCATGTACGATATAAGGACATCATTGGGCACACTTCAATGCTTATGTTTATATTGATCGTAAGGATCGATGAATATACAACTGTCAAGTAAATAAATGAATAAATAAATGTTTCGTAATTTACAATAACGTTATGTTTCCAAATCGTATTCCCAAGCATACCTTATTTAACCTTGTCCATCAACTCTTCTCATGCTATGATTTTTTTTTATATATTAATACGACAGTTTCCTGCTTTAATATTTTTCACAATCTTTTTGCACTATTTATTATTCTGTCAAGAAACACCGTTAATCAGTTAAAGTCAGCACCACTTGTTATCTTAAGTTTTGACATTATCTTTTCCTTAAGTGCATTCGCATTGAGTTGTATGTGTGTAATATATCGTTTCCATTCTAACTTTGATAAGAGTTAAAAACTAAAACTGAGAGCAATATTGCACATGAACCAAGTAAAAAAAAAAATAAATAAATTTGACAATATTATAACAGATATTTTTGTGTGGTGGAAACTGTGTAAAACAATGTTATATTTAACCTTAAAATAGTCCAAGGATATTAATAACTGTTTGTATTAAATAATTTAAAACATGTTAATAGACAACAAAAGATTTAGTTTATTCAAAATCAATAATTCACTTATCACAAATATCTTGTTTCCTGCAAAACTTTGTTTTAATTTAATTAATTTAATTAATTTTTACTTTGTAACATTGTTTTTGTGAGCAATTAAAATATTTATCATCTTATATTCCAGCACCGAATATAACTGAGATGTAACATAGATGTTAAATGAGTATATGTTATGTACTCATTTACATATATGTTATATAGCACACATATGTTATGTAGCAGATACATTTGTGATTTGCTGGGATTATTATTATGTTATATTTATGTTATATAATTTTGATTCTATATACATATATAATATTGTATCTTTATACTCTACAATTGCAATAGTGATAGCTTAAAGAAAATTACAACGTAAACAATTGAGTCGTAAAACAACAGTCGGAAATATTACACTCATTGTCACTTTGTGACTTTAATAGAAAAATAAGCAGTTCTGAATGCATACGCGCTATCATAATTTACAGATATCACAGGAGGTATTGTGGTGTATATCATAAGTATATATTTACTGTTTTCTTGAACCCCCTCTGTCCCCATGTAATCGTATGGGCGCCCATGCGTGCGACGTTGCCGTAGCGGCGCATGCGCATGCACAAGCATGTGCGTGATTGCCGCAGCCCGGGGCAAGGGATACCTCGCAGCAGCTCGAAAAGAAGGGTGGCACCCGGAAAGCGAATGGGGGGCCTGTGCAGTCCTGCCTCCGCCCATGCCGCGAACATCCCGGCCAACTGCCTAGATATGTTGCTACCAACCGGGTTCCAAAGTCAGACATATTATGGCGTGAACCAAGGTCGCGACTCACACACATATTGTAGAGTCATGGGATTTTGGAAGAATGCTGATAATATTTTTACGTATTTTGTATAATCACATCATACACCCAACACACTCCTTCATTTATTTAACTGTATCATCCACAGAATTCCGTAAAATTTCAACGATAATAGGAAATATGTAATTTTTGCTGATTAATCATGATTAGATAACTTTATTATTTCTACTTTGTTAATGAAAATATCTAATAAATACCATCAATTTTTTTGAGATTGTATGAGATAAAAGAACAGGCTAATAAAAAAGTAGATATATCAAATTTAATTATATTTTATAAATATTATAATCTAAGTACACATAGTATTTTCTATTCTTATCTTTGCAAATTTATTTATCAGTCATTATTTATAATGCTTATTATAATATTTATCAGTCATTATTTATAATACTTATAGTGACATTTAAAGAACAATTTTTTATATTTTTTATTGATAGTATGTGTTAATTTAAAATTGCAAAGTTTACTAATGTTCATAATAATTGTCGGCGATTCTCGAGTTTGTGAAACTTTCAATTAGTGACTATTGATGCTTATACGTAAGTACGATTTTGCGTACGTATACGGTAAGTTATATTAGTAAAATATATAGTATTATTTTTTTAAATTTATTAATGATATTAAAATTTAATTAATTCATTGTAACATACATACAGACAGTTCTAAATTAATTAAAAGCATTATATATCTTGTAATTTACGATTAATTTATAAAGTCTATCAAAATTAGTGTTATAAGTTACAACACTTAAATAATTTTCTTATAAAAGTTAAAAAGTTTTCTTATTATAATTTGAATAATAAAAAATATGTTTTATTATTTATTTTTTTTCTGGAAATTAATCTGAAAAGTCTAATCTAAAATTTTACGTGAGATAATATTTTATATTTAATAAACAAGATAACGTTTAAGATAATAGTTAATGTATAACACAGCCTGTATATTTATCATAATAAGTTGATATTTATAACTGTTACCTCTATGTGTTCGCAATGACTAGTATTGCACAGTAATTTTGCAAAAAAATTTAAATATATAATACGAAATATATAATCTGAAACACACGAGATATAGTCTAATTCTAAAATACGTGTATTCTATCCAACACAAGACGATACGATTAATAGCAAGCTTCCAAGCGAGTTATAGAAGGAAGGAAGTACACAAGAGCCGCTAATTGCAAGATCTATGTACTGTTGTCTGCTTGCTATCCGTGGGTAGATAAACCATAGGTTTCGATGTTAAACACCTTCACTAACTTCTCTAGAATGTGGATTAGTTGGAAATTATTGTAGACATTTTGGTCAGTCTATTGTTTCAAAGTGGAGCGAAACATAATACAAAATTGATTGCAGCAATTTATATTAGGATAATAACAGCGCATTATTTATTTAAGAGAGAAAGACAGAGACAGAAAAAGAAAGGGAGAAAAAGTACTAACAATGTAATGCAAAATATAACATATTATTTATACTTATATAACATATGTGTTTATACTTATATAATGACAATTTTAGGAAAAACGAATATCATGACAAATTATACTAAATTGATATGTCATTATCCTTTTTAAAGAAAATAATTTCTGATAGTATTCTATCATATGCACTTATAAATTCATTTATATTTCTTTAAAATAAAATCAATCAATTAAATTCTTGATAAATATGTATAAATAAGAATATATAATCTAGTTAAGTAAATATTTTTTAAATGAGTGACAT